GCACTTCTGCAGCACCTTTTGCCGTTTCTACTCCTAACCTTGATGATCAGACACTATGCCATCCTAAGTATTCTGTCATCTTTGAAGTCACAGTCCAATAAGGTTATGGGTCTGTATTCACTACATATACAAAAAAATTCTGAACAGGAAAAAAACATTTTCTCCTACTCATGAAATGCAAAGCAAACAACACTTACCCATCTATGGAAGGCACAAGAACCACACACCCAATCAATAGCATTTCAGAATAAGAGAAGTTGTTTCACCCCCACCTCAATTAGAACAGAAGTTACCCACAATCATTTCGCTCTTCTCTAGCTCTGTTCAGTCCATGGTTGGCCCGTTACCTCTCCCAATTACTATCCTTTTCTCCAATTCCTCATGCCCCACGTCGGGCAGCAAAAAGGACTGTGGTGGGTTGACCCTGGCTGGATGCCAGGTGCCCACCAGAGCCACTCTATTACTCCCCCTCTCAGCTTGACAGGGGAGACAAAATATAACAAAAGGCTCATGGGTCGAGATAAGGACAGGGAGAGATCACTCACCAATTACCATCATGGGCAAAACAGATCAGACTTGGGGAAAATCAATTTAATTTATTGCCAATCAAAAAAGAGTAGGATAATGAGAAAACAAATGATATATGATATAACTCTTGTGAGCAACTCTACAATCACAAATTTGTAGATGCATGTGATGAAATATTTTTTTAGAAAGGGAACTTGAACAAAAGTACAACTGTTGTTATATTAAAGACTCAAAAAAAAAAAAAAGAACAAGAAAAACAAAAATCCTCAAGTGTTCAGACTGTGGATCGTCTGTGCAGCAGATGCAGTAACAGCTCAGGTCTGGCAGGATTACAAGCAGGAACCTATCACTATGAGAGCACAATGTACCTGAATTGGCTTTGGAGGTAAACAGTATAGCTGTGTTTCTACAGCTCTGAATCCTTAAGTATTAAGTACTGTATGATCTAAACTGACTCTGTAATGACAGTCTTTCTGCACCGAGTTCCAAGAAACACATGTACAAGTGGAGAGACTCCAATTACGCTAGATTCAGCTGAGATCCAGACAAATACTATCTCAAATCTTAATGTGGCCAGCTCCACAGGGAGTCACAGCCCTCTCAACACATTCCCCAGGACTAAAATCCAGGTGGCTTATTAGACCAGGTGTAGTGTCGTGCAAATGTGCCGACTCAGTTCTGGACCAGTACTGCACTCAACTTTGTAAGCCACCCCATCAAAAAAACAAAACAAAAAAAACCACCACACCACATCTAACACAGAAAAACCAAGTGGAAAAAACACCCCTTTACGACATTGGAGTAACTTGTACCAAGTCCAAACTGATTCTTCCAGATGCAATGACAGGCTTATAATATACATATTCCAGTGAAACAGATGAACAGCATGTCAACTCACTTGCAATGCTGTAAGCAATCTGACTTCACATACACAAGCTGAGCTGTGTTTGAGGCAGTAAAACTTCTTGGAATTCATAACACTGAAGTTCAGTACTGAGATCTCCTGGTCTCTCTGAATCGAGTTGGATTCACGAGGACCAGCATCTACACGTAGCTAATAAGCCTGACCAAGCTAACTGTTTGTGCAAATGTTGAAGGCCTCTGTGCTGCCTGGTATCTCTATCGTATGGATTATTCCAGCTCCTTCATGATAAGCATGAATAGTAGTAGCTTACAGCAAACCATAAACACATTGTCTATTTATACCCCACTATATACTATAATTAAACCTTTCTTAAAATAAGATCATCAAGAAAGATGTTTGGTACATAATAGGATGATGGGGAAAAAAAAGCCTTTTTGAATAACAGTTGTGTTACAATTCCTAAACTTAGCTTCTCTAGTCTCTCTTTGGATACCAGCACTATCAGCCCCTGGACAACATATATGCACCATTCAATTTCCCAAGCCAGGACCAAAGTCCCTTATGTACTACTCCATATGTATACATCCTCACATGGACCTCAATATTACTTTTTCTTACATCAACAAGTATCTGCCCTGCTTTTTGATTCAGAAGTTCAAGTACATCTGAAGACATCAAAAGGGCCCACTATGCAGGGTAATAACAGCTGGTGCCGACATAGGCAAAGCTGGGAGCAGTTGCCACCCCTCTTGAAGAGATTCACATTCCAAGCTCACCACAGGTCAGCTAAGATAAATGAGCTAATTTAGGGAAAACTAAGACTTTTCAAGCAATAGTGAAAAATTTATAGAGTGATTATAAAAAGTGCATACTGGGATTACAACCTTCTATTCATTATCTACTACATATGCATGCTTATAAGGTAAGTCAAATAATTACCACACACTTCAGTATGTCCATTATCTGAACAGTTCAGATTTACAAAAATCGCGTTTTCTCTCACGCACACAAAAACACGACCCTGTTAGAGCCAAGACTCAGCACAACTTGTCAGGCATGGAACTGTGCTTTCCAACTAGTAGTTGACCATTCAAAATTCAAGACACTAGCGACCACCTCGCTATCAAAAATGCAGAGGTCAACCAGCCAGGAGGCTTGTGTGGCTGAAAAATAAATCAGCCACTGCCTTCACTGACAAGCAGTATGTATCAGCTTAGCAGCAGCACACAAAAGAAAGGGAACACAGTAGACATCAGCGTATAACACCTGAAAGTATATGGGAAGCCAACTGCTCTAACTTGCTGTTAAGCTAAGTTCTCTGGTGACCCACCTACTTGAGTTCCTTGCTCCTGAGTTAGTCTATTTCTTTCAGTTGTTAAAGCAAGATTACCTTTAGTGCAAGCAATTAACCCTAGTCTCTTACCAGAATGGATTTACTTGCCCAATAACTGCAGCTTAAAAAAAAAAAAACAACCCACACACAAAAAACCCACACATAACGCAGACAGCATCAGCAGGGGAAAAATATACCTTTGAGTGCAAGATGCAGGTCTTTTTAAAGATTAAAAGTAAGTAAGTAGAAGTTTGTACAATGTAATCTGGTTAATTTAATTCTGGTTTTGTTTCTAGACAAAAAGGCCAACAGAAAAACTAAGTGTCAGTCTCCTACAGTGATAAGGAGGCTTGCTTTTGCAAGTAAGTGTGTTAAAACTTGTGTGTCTGATAAACTGGTTACTACAAAGTTCCAGTTTTCATACTGAAGTCAGAGCTTCAGTTTAGTTTCTGAACATTAAGGGCTTCTCCAAGACACCTCAGAGACAGCCACCATGTTTCTAACTCACTAAGATACAAGTAGTTGTTAAAACTTCAACTGTTATCAATCTGGTCTACCTCACATGCAATTAGTTTCACTTGAGAACCAATTAAACCTACACTATATTACAAATGGAAAAGATTTTTTTTCAAAACAAGATCAGTAATCAACTTGTTGAACCATACCATAAACAGACCCCATTACATGGAAACAAGAACAGAATACACCGGACAGAGAATTCAGTTAAGTTCATTGCTATTCCTTCTTAACTTCAAACAGTGAAGAAAAGCAGTATAATGCCTATTCAAAGCTATTCGCTTCGGTAAACTCAAAAAATTATCAGAACGCAGTGAGACATTGTTCATTTTAGAACTCAGTACAGTTCTCCTTCATTCCTTATGTCAGGAGAAGTTGGGAATAACTATACCCTAAATCCTGATGAGGATTCCCTAACACGAGCCAGAAAACTCCTCCTTCTAGCCACCATCTCTCTTTTCTCCTTCTCTGTATTTTTTAACTTTGTTGTCAACTTGTATCTATAGAACTCAACAACATTAAAAAAAATGCTACTCTTAAAACTTTACATTGCTGATGGTCTTCCCAGGAAAAGAAAGAAACAGCCTTTCTTTTAAAAGGGTGGCAGTTTTGATATTCTGTAGACAAGTATTTGGAGAGCTCATAGAAATCAATCTGTTCTTGCTCCCACCAACAGGTCTGCTTTGGAAGGAGCAACAGTCTAGGTTACTAGGGCATTATGAAAACATTAGTGGCAAGCTGGGAAAAAGTAGAGGAACAATATTCTTCAGTCCTGTGCCAAAAATTCACACAACATTAACTCATCCTACCATTTCTATAGTACTTTACATTAGAAAAGGAAACAGGTACAGCAAACAGCTCATGTAAACACTCTGCCAGTCACTGACAGCAACCGAAAATTTGTCTCAGGCTCTTCATCTGTCTTTAGATATGGAAGTTAGAAATAGTTTACACACTGCCCTAAGATGCTGCACTGCCTTCTCTTCCCATTTTTATATGAAATATGTTTTCAGAGGCAAAGGAACAGCTTAGTCTTTCTAAATACTCTCACTTCATCTTTTGCTAGAAGACAAAATAAAATGTGCCAAGAGGTGAGAAATGCAATTCTCTTTCTAAAAATGCATGGTATCATGCAGCTTGATCTAATAACATACAAGTCTGACCAAAAAAAACCCTCATGTAATCAAGGAAAAAAAAAAAGCACTGGGGTTTTTTCTTGTTGGAAGGATTATCTGAATCTCCAATATTTACCATAAAAAACTGAAAAGACAGAGAAAGAAAATGTTTCTTCAAGTAGAAGTATCACATTCCAAGTAAGCGTTAGATTCCAATATTAAGAACACTACTTATTGGTTAAGTGTTCCTAGACTGAAGCTTTCAACTGGCAATCTAAAGTTGCTGTAAAAGAAAATGGACACAGATGTGATTATCTTCCTGTACCTAACTATATAAGTGTTAAACTGGCAAAAATACACAAAATCCACACCACAGATAAGAAGAAAATAATCATTGAAATGGTTAGGGGAAAACAACAACAACAAAATTTAAAAAATCACGCCCCCCTCCGAAATTGTCAGAATACTTAAGAGACAGTTACATATTTCCACTTTAAAAAAAAAAAAAAAAGTCTTTCTGAATATCATCTAATCGGAATTATGACAGAAAGCTAAGCTATTTTCTACAATTAATAGAATATTTGGGTAAATATTATCCACACAAGCATTATAACTAGCATTACTTAATAAATAAAGAACATACCACTCTGGCTGCTCTTTCCTGAGATTCACACTTCCTGCAAAACCAAGGTCCAGTGGGTACTTGAACAATTCCATAGCAAGCTGTTTTGAACAAGACAAAATATTTCAGCAAATATAAGCAGCACTACAGTACTACTAATATGAATGTTATAAAAAAGCTTTGTATTAGTTGATCTCATATCATTTTAGTAAGTCAAATTGACATCTATACATCACACATAAAATCTTTTCACAACGGCACCAGAAATTAAGTACAACAAGCTTCCACTTAAAAATTTATGCAAAATTTGTTAAATAACTTTGTTAAAAAAAAATACAGATTAGCTTGAAAAGTAATATAACCATTCCAAAGCAGCAATGTTTCATGTGATCTCTTTTGCTATTTATTTACCAGCAAAACAAGTAAAACACTTCACAATAACAAACATCCATCATTTATAGTAAAGTCTTTTTAAAGAGAAAACTAAAAGCAACAAACAAATCTGAGTTTGTCATAAGATGTTAATACACTTAGTTATGATCAAGTTCCCTTATTCTTTATAAGTAATATAACTGGTCTTAAGTAGGAAATCCAGAATAAACTGAACAAAGATACAAAGTTTGCTTCTTCCTCCTCCCCCCCCCCGAAAATTCCTATGAAGTTGTAAATACAAACTAAACTGAGCATCAGGTCTAGGATTAGTTTCAACTATAGTCAGGCTACAACATAAATCCTTAGGGAAGAGATTTTGCAACACGTAGATTTCTCTGCAAGCCTGTCATCTATATTTTTATAGTATTTTAAAAAACAGGAGTTTGATAAGAAATTCCACAGAAAAAGAGTTTAGTAATTTGACAATACTGTTCATGTTTGAAATGCACAGATCAGGAAGAGCTGCTGAGGGAATGAAAATACAAGAACACAAGTGCTGTGAGTGTATTCTAATATCTGTATGGGTTTAACAACTAATAACAAACAATTAACAAGCCAATCATTTTCCTCAGAAAGATAACCTTGAATCTGACATCATATTTTTAATATCTCAATTCCCAACAAACACACTTTAAGTAAATAAGAAAATCTGGTTTAAGTGTGTAACTAGAAAAAAAATATATATTACAAATTAATAGTTAAGACAAAAGCGGAGATTAAATCATTATCTTCTAGTATACAGACAAAAACATTATTGGTTTTGTGCTAGCCTGAAGAAGAACAAAAAAACCCCAAACAGTAAAGCAACAGTAGGATAAAAAACATCTGGCTAATACACCTTCTACAAAGAAAACTTAATGGAATCATTTCTTATTATATACATACATGTAGTCATACTAAGATCAGTTGTCAGATTTTTAAATATATTATCCAAGTACTGACAGACCAAACTATTTTGGTAAGCCCTTTCTACCATACAATAAAGTTCTTTAACACGAGAAAAAACATCTTGCTTTCATTGCATCTATATTAACCACAGACGAGGGGGACTTTGAATTCCTCTTTAGAAATTAGAGGGAGACTTTAAATGTGCAATCACACATTTAGATTAGCAAGAGACAGAGCAAAGAAACTAATTACAGAATGCAACTCGGTGACAGGGTTGGCAATCAGATCCAAAGGCAACACAAGTTGGGCAAAGACCAAGTTGAAGTGAAGTACTTTTATATCTGCAAACATAACAAGAGTACACTTAGAGCCTAAAAAAGTCCACCACAGGTTTGTGCTCCGATACACTGTGATATTGTTTATCGACTTCCAAGACTTCCTTTGGTTTATACTTCCACTACTATTGGAAGCTTCTTTGAATACTTGAAGAGATTCTGTCTTCCACAACTTGCCAACCACTTAACACGTGAAAAGAAGTTTCCTCTGAACTAAAAGTAATTATACTAACAAAAAAATACAGTTAATAAAGTCTCACAGGTAATACTGCTGTCTGCACTTCAAATAAGGACTACCAGCTTTAACCATGAGGACTACTACTTTTATTACAGAAAGACTATAAAAAGAGTGGACGTGCATCCTCTACCACTTTCATTCACATGACACATCAAATCCAAAATGTAGACCGTCAATGATACCATAAATCAAAATATACAGTTGTTCTTAAGACCTCTACCACAGCATCTGGATTTAGAAGAAGCAATACTTCGCACATTCCCTGCCAGATTCAAATGCAGATTTGGACTTGACCTTAAATAAAAAAAAGTTCAATATTCTTGTACCCAATTTACTCAAGTGTGTCACTGTATTAGGGTTATTTCCTAAAACAGACTTCTGCCATTCCCACTATTTCAGCTCCAACTGCTGCTATCATCAAATTCTTCCACCCAAAGTCTTAGCAAGGCTCTAGATGCAAAGGAAGATGCTCAAGATAATAGAAAAGTAATAGCTGGTTCAGGTATGACTTCTAAAAGTACTCATGTTTTAGTGTTCTTTTTCATGATTTTAACATTCCACAAAAGCAGAGTTAAACTACTGGTTAACATTACTCAGCTCTTAAGACAACAGAAAACACATTCAAAACCAGACTAATTTCACAGATCCTGTCAGCTCTGCTCTGCATTCAATCCAACATTAACAAGAATAACTGAATTATTTTGCAGATCTCCTTAAATTATTACTATTTCTCATTGTCAATTTACAAAGGAGCACACACCTGAAACAAACAGTTAATATATCATCTTCAACACAACTTAAGACCAAGCACGAGACACACATTACTAGTATTTTAGCATGTGCTAGGCATTCAGACTAACGAACTGGATTTAGGATTTTCTGTCTTCCCCACTTTGTTCATCACCTAGAAGCAGTCGAAGAGCCAGCTAAAAAGTTCATATGACTGCCTGGGAGTTGATACAGAGTAACTACCATGTCATTCCTTATTTCTGCTATCATAAAGCAAAAGTCATCATAACTTCCTTTCTTACAACGTAATCAGCAGAATCCAGTCTCTTCTTCTGCTCTGACAAGAAGGGTCAACTCCCTGACAGAAACAAAATAATCAGATATACAGGGAACACGCCAGCTCCCAAGCTGAGCTGGAAACCAACCAACCAGCCTCCACTAATCCAAACAAATCCAGCCTCAGCCATTCCGACTAGCACCCTCCCCCTGCAGAACCACAACAGGAAGTCTCTTCATCTACCAGGAAACATCAGCCAAATGACATTCAAGGAAAGGCAGGCAGAAGAAGAAATCACATGACAGCTAAGTCTTTCCTACACACCGCGCTCTTCCAATCCTAAACCCTCCTCGTCTACTGGCTGCCCCTCACGTACTTTTTTCTAACTTGGGAAAGGAAGGGACAACAGGGATCAAGTATAGGAAGAAAGAAATATAGCAACAATTGCCAGAACAGAGATTAGTAAGAATTTCCACAAATGAGGAAAGGAGTTTCAGGCAGACTTTGGACTGCTGCAGCTGAACTTGCTAACAGGGTACAAAGGCAGTCTGGGAAGTACAGACACAGGAAAGGTACAAGGGGCAGAGGAAGGGGAAAAAAAAGTGGAAGGGGGAGTTCTTCATTTCTCATAGCCATAATATAGGAAGTCATAATATACAAAGTCTCAGATGAGGAAAAAGACAGACAGACTGGAAGGTCAGAGGATGACAGGCCAGACCAGAAAGCACGTGGCCCAAGAAACAGGGAAATGGGCTTCACGGGTGACACGAAGGAGCTGGGAGGGGGGAGGGAGAGAAGGAGGGGAGAAAGACAGCCAAGGGGGGGGCAGGGAGGGGAAGCAAGCCCAAGGGAAGAGGACAGGGAGCATCAAGAAGGAAGCTGCGAGGCTTGAGGCCAGAGCGGGTGAGCTGGCACTCGCCTGCCTACTCACCTTGATGCACTGCGACATTGCAGCCGTGCCCGTCG